CAGTCTGACTGCGTGGTTGCGTGGTTGCGTCGTGTGGTTAATTTGTCCAGCGCTGCCCCTGGATCAGAGTCAGATATGGCACCAGCTGCAAGGTACGGATTTATCTTTGGCCAATCACCTCTGCAACCGCCGGCCTTGGCCAGGGGTCGAGGTGGCGCCGCGCCACGCTCTGCGCCGTGTCCAATGACAGCTTCCATATTTACAGGTACCTACCTTGAGCAATATGCAAACTTACCTTACACCACACCTGAGGTGAGGTGCCTGTGTGCAAGGCACCTCGCCTCACCTTAGGTATTCTGGCTCCGACCTGCTTCTCCTGGCAACCTGGTTCTTCGTTCAGGTAGGACGAAAACCCTATGAGATGCTTGCTGCGTCAGGCAAAAAGACGGACCAAAAAAAGCAACGAAATGGCAGCGAAAAGAAAACCTATAGGGGGGAGCGAAAAACAAGGTCTGATCCAGGTATAGTGCTGAGCCTTGGCCCTTGTCGCTCCTGAGCGTTCCCCTGCGTCTTCGCTCCTTGATCTACCTACTATGTACTATGTATGCAGTACGTAGCGTAGTGTCCGTATACGGCGTCGAAAAGACTTTCTTGGTCCCTGCCGTCCTCCTTGCCCCTCGCTGATGTCCTTTCGCCTCTGTCGCTCACCCACATGCTGGTCCTTGCTCCTGCTCATCGTCCTGCCCGAACCCAACCATGCAAACCTTGCTGAGGCCAGTCGTCCTCGTTCACGCTCGTGCCATGCCATCCCGTCCTCGCAAATCCAATCCCTCCCTCCCATCTCGACCGACAAGGGGCGACGTGTGTCGTGTGTCGTGTGTCGTGTGTCTTGTCATCGTTGGCCTTTGCATTGCAGTGCCGCCGTCAACCAGGAACGACTGTCACAGTTGCAACCTCATTGTGTGTGAGTGTATACGGCGCAGTCCTGGCATAAACGCGGTGAGTGAGCTCCTGCGAACAAATTCGGGCGCCCTTGCCGAGCACCCTGTCAAGCCTTGCGCTGCCATGCGTCGCCCTGCAGGGGCCGCGACCGCGCCTCGTCTCGACTTAACTTGCGTCATGAGGACGGTCGTCTCCTTTGGGACCTGGAGCCAGTGAACCAGGCCAGCTGCCGGCCGGACGCCTCAATAACGAATGACTGTTCTCCATGGACCCGACCATTTACAAGGTAAGTAAGTAAGTACTCTGCAGTACTACTGTGTACGAATAGGGCAGCAACAGTAAGTTACAAGGCAGGTGGGTGCAGGCAAGGTGATCCCCTTCCATCTATCTGGGGATGCCCACATCAGTGGATCCGGGATCCTCTCTTGCAGTGTAAAAATGGTGTTTTAGTCGTTGTCGACTAGGGTCTTCGTATCAGTTCGCACACCTCTCCACTTGCCTATACCGTACATAGTACACCCCTTCGGCAACTACTGAAGGGCTTTGCTTGCCGTTCCTTGCCTTTGCAGTAGATGGTGGTAGCCCAGTGTGTCGCTCTGTGAGTGCGCGTCGATTTCGGCCTACCTTAGCAGTCAGACCCCCCACCCCCCCGGGCCGCGACAAAAAAAAAAAAGGACGGCGTCCGGTCTGCTTTTGCTACTTACATCACCGTTCCTGCGCTCACTTGCCATCTCGCTACTTCATTTTCTGTTCTTCTTCTCTCTCCCTACACGGCTCACCCGCTAGCTCGATCACGAGTAAATTTTCTTCTTGTCCTTCCCTTTCCCTCACCCTTCTCACGCCTGGGCTCGTGACGTCGATTATCAAGACGTCCTTTTTCTTTCTTCTTTTCCCAGACTGCTGTCATTTTGGCACCCTGCATTGACTGCACCTTTCGACGTTACTTTTCCTAAGGCTATTGTCAGGAAGTACCCATCGTACCGGTTTCGATATATTTCCGACCACCAAACAAACGATCAACGTATTGTCTACTCGGGTTTTAACGTCCACGACTGCTTCGCCACTACCCACGGTTTCTTGTCTTCTCTAACACAACGTACCAACTTGCGACGTCCTTCGATTCTCCGATATCTGCCTGCGATCTTGCTGGACAACGACTGACCGATATTGGACTGGAAAGACGACGTCGCAACGACTACGAATCGACGACTTCCTCACTCTTGGACTTTGTGTGTCATCAATTTCCCCGCCAACTGAATCCGTCGACCCAACTGAATCCGTCGACATGGCTGGCGGTGGCGGCACCCAGTCGCCCGAGGCTCAACAGGCAGCCATCAACGCTGCTCTGGAAAACAAGGCCCTTTCTAACTACCTGTACTATATCATCGCCTGTACCTCGGCTGCCGTCATCATCTGGAGAGTTTGGACAGTCATCGTTAAATACGTACGTACTGTCGCCTGCCTCAACAACGACAATCAACGGTACTTCGTCGAAACCGATTCCAAGTTCGCCTGGATCAAGAGAAATGTTCTCTATGCCCCCATTTTCAGCAAGCGCCACAACCGCGAAATTCAGATGAGCAGCGCCATCAACGTTGGCACCTTGCCCAGTCGTCTGCAGCTGCTGTTCCTCGCCGGCTACCTAGGCACCAATATTGCCTTCTGCGTCATCAACATTCCCTTCGCTGGCTCATTTGCTGCTGCGGCTAGCCAGCTTCGGAACAGGACCGGGACCCTCGCTGTCGTTAACATGGTGCGTGCTGATTCTCATGGTCTGTCCCGGGTATTTGGGCGGGACGGGGTGAGGGTGTGTTTGCTTGCTTGCTTGCAGGCAAACACAAATTTATCCGCTGAAGACATGCTGACTAAATGTAGATTCCCTTGTTCTTGATGGCTGGACGCAACAACCCCCTGATCAAACTGCTTGGCATCTCATTTGACACCTTCAATCTGCTGCACCGTTGGTTCGGTCGCATCGTCATTCTGGAGGCCGTGACCCATACCCTAGCCTGGTGGGCCAACAAGGCTCAGACTTCCAGCTGGGAGTCTGGCTGGCAGTCCATCATCGCCGTTCCTTTCTTACTCTTCGGCTTTGTCGTAAGTGGAATGGCCTCAGAGGCGTGTTACATGAGGAACTGACAGTGAAACAGGCAACCTGTGCTTTTGTCGCCCTTGGCATTCAGGCATCTAGCCCTATCCGCCATGCCTTTTACGAGACGTTCAAGCTGCTGCACATTCTGCTGGCTATCGCTGCGGTCGTTGGAACTTGGTATCACCTGCAGATGAAGGCTCTGCCTCAACTGAAGTACCTGTGGCCTGTTGTCATCTTCTGGGCCGGCGATCGGGTTTGGCGCGCTGCCCGTGTCTTCTACGGCAACGTGGGCCATGGAGGGAGCAAGGCACTTGTTGAAGCACTCCCTGGCAATGCATGCCGTGTGACCGTCACGATGGCCCGCCCCTGGACCTTCGGTCCAGGCCAGCATGCTTACATGTACCTGCCTTCCCTGAGTTGGTGGCAGTCACATCCGTTCTCCGTGGCTTGGGCCGAAGAGGCTGAGGATCCCCAAGCCGAGAAGATGTCCCTCAACCGCCAGGATATCCTGGCCATGCGCAAAACCACCATGTCCTTCATCATCCGCGCTCGTACTGGAATGACCGACACACTCTACCGCAAGGCCGCAGCATGCCCCGATGGCCGCATGACAACGTCTTGCATGATTGAAGGGCCCTACGGCGGTCTCCACGGCATGCGCTCATATGGCACTGTCATGCTGTTTGCTGGTGGTGTTGGAATCACTCACCAGGTTCCCCACGTACGTGACCTCGTTGCCGGCTACGCAAACGGAATGGTCGCTGCTCGGAAGGTGGTTCTCGTCTGGATTATCCAGAGCCCCGAACATCTCGAGTGGATTCGTCCTTGGATGACAGAAATCCTGGCTATGGAGAAGCGCCGTGACATTCTCCGTATCATGCTTTTTGTCAGCCGCCCTCGTTCAACCAAGGAGATTCACAGCCCGTCGGCCACTGTGCAAATGTTTCCTGGCCGCCCCAACATCGAGACGCTCATCCGGGCTGAGCAGGAATCCCAGATCGGCACTATGGGTATCAGCGTGTGTGGCCCAGGTGCCCTCAGCGACGAGGTCCGCCGCGCTGTCCGCGATCGCCAGCATGATACCGCCATTGACTTCAACGAAGAGGCCTTCTCGTGGTAGAAGGAGAAATATGATTGTGCAAACCTCTAGTATCACAATTGAGAATCAACAACGAACAAGAGGAACCTGCCCAAAGCAAGAGATGTCAGGCCATACAGACAGCCCAAGTCTGAGACGACAAAGATCCGAGTCAGGCGGGAAAGGCTCAGCTGGATCCTGTTCAATGTACATATAGGGAGCTCTCAACCGAAGGCTGTGTAGATATGCGATTGTATGTAGGGTAGTTCAGAAGAGAGACGGCATTGAGCCGCTAGATATGTCACCAAACGCATCTTACTTCAGTGCTGGCAAGCGTTATTTGTGCTGGACAGCCTATGTGGGAAGTCGGTGATGAGGTAACAACTGCACCCCAAGCGTGAATCAGGGTGCACTGCTTTGACCACCTAGCTTCAGCACATGGCGCCTGCCTGAGGGTGCACTTGCCAACAAAATAGGTACACTGGGTACATGCATCCTTTCTTGTCTTATCCTTATCCATCCCCACCTGACTAGGCACCTTACCCAGTTTGGTTCCTTGCCTTCCATCTATCCCTTCCTCTCCATCGCAATCCCTCCCCCGCATCCTTCTCTTCCAAGCCTGTCTGCGCCGTCAGCTAACCTGCTCGAAACTTGCCTATTCTCACATTACCTCTATTGTGGTCTGGAGCATATTGAGTTGTTTCCTCGCCCCTTCACCACAGCAGATTGCAAGGCATTCTCTTGAACACTGGCAACCTTCAGAAGGGCTTGTCACTGGGGATTCGGCAACACTGACGGCACCTGTGGAAAGCTTACTACACCAAGTTTTCCCAGCCTCCCATCGCCATCGCAGAGGGAGGCTTCATACAATGGGCTTGGCGTACAACACATATTTGAACAGCAGCAAGGTCTATGGCTGCAAGACGTGCAAAGCACATCTTTCAAATCATGAAGATATCATCAGCCGGGTATGTGCGACTTCCCTGCCCGACATGGTGTAGAGACGGTGACGGGCGTGATGAAGGCAGCCATGTAGGAGGATCAACAGGACCCATCCCCCTCCCCTCTGATCTTTTTGAGCCAGCCTGCGCTAACCGCCAAATGTTCATATGACCAGAACTTCAGAGGCCAGCATGGGAAAGCCTACCTCTTCAATACCGTCGTCAACATCGAGACGGGCGAGCCGAGCGAGCGAAACATGACGACTGGACGCCACATTGTGCGCGATATAACTTGCAAGCAGTGCAAGGAGACTGTTGGCTGGAAGTACGACAAGGCATACGAGGCGACTGAAAAATACAAGGAGGGCAAGTTCATCCTCGAGGCTGAGCTGCTTTGCAACGTCACCTAACCGCCACCTTATGATATCTGCCTTGATCGGTATGTTCTACAGTTGAGCCATGCGGGTCTTTTCTTTCTTTCTTTCTTTCTCATCAAGGGGGCTTTGGAGTTTGTATGACATGCTGCATTTGGGTGGCGTTTGAGGTTTTCGGAGATGACTCTTCTCGGGCGCCTGCCAGCTATTAGCTCTCGCGTCAAAGGCCGCATGCCTGGCGTCACTTCTACACGCGTGGGATCATACATCGGGCGAAATACACTAGTCACTTTTCCTCTCAAACTGTGTGACATTTACGTACATTCTTTCTTTCGTAGTTCACTCAATACAGATGATGCCCTAACGCCACGAAGCTATGCCCAGGGCCCCCATCTATCACCTACATCGCCACTGTTTTGCATCTAGACATCGGACCAAAACCCCCCACTATCTTGTAGTAAATGTAGTTGCGGTGCCGTACACAAAATATGTGAGTGAGACATATTGTACGAACAAGCCTACTGGTGTTCGATAGGGTCTTCCGGTAACAACTCCTCTACCTCTTCTTCCGGGACGAGGAACTTGAAAGGGGGCTGGACGATGCCGTTAAAGAGGAACGTAAAGTAGACGAGGAGGGCGAAACCAGCGACTTGCAGCCACTTGAATGTCTCCCAGTGCAAGCCGAGAGAGACGATCCAGATGAAGAGCGTTCTGCAAGTGTCGATGGTGGATCTGGAAGTAGCGGAGACACTCCTCGTAACGGATAGCCCGAAGAAGTTGAATCCACTTGATCGCGATGATGTTAGTAGCTGCCGATACTGCATGGTAAGAAGAAGCTTACCCGATACTGATCATGATCAGGATGCTGGACACACCGATGGCTCGATTCTCTGTGAGCTGCCTCCAGCCTTCAACCATGTCAAAGTACCCATTACGACCAGCGTCAGTGCGACCGATGGCGAGGTGCAGGACAATCATGCCAATGACTGTAACGATGAAGCCGAATAGACCCTCCCAACCGACAACCCTGATGGGTTCTATGGCTGATCTTTCGAGGATCCACTCCTCTAGCACAAATTGTGTCGCTGTGAATATCTGGGCTCCAGCAATCAACAACACACCGATGACAGAGAGCAGTGCGTTGGACGTCGGAGCACCTTCGTCCTCGGCACTCTGTGTGTTCTTGTCCTCGTGATAGATGGCGCCGGCCAGGCCGACGATGGCAACACCGAAAACAACACCCACAAGAGATAACCACTGGAAGAGATAGAGATGTCTGCGAAGGAAGATGACACTGAACAGCCCAACAAAGAGAACAAGAGCGCCGCGAGTCATTTGGTAGATCGAGGCAACAACGAGGAGCAGGCCAATATTCATCAATGTTGTCCCAAGAATGTCGCAGACAGCAGGGAGTGCCAGCAAGAGGATACGAGGACCACGGAGGATGGCGCCGTTGCCTTCGTCGCTCGGCGGCTTCGGTCTCCCATCAGAGTTCGCAACAAGTGCAGTGTTCGCGTCGTCCGTGTCGTTGGTATTTACAGCTTCGTATCCCTCGCGAGATGCTCCAGGACCGAATCGGCGATAGAAGTTCATTAGCCCTACTACCAACCAACAGCCCATCTCACCAACAAACATCTGCGCCGTTTGGAGGACCGGCTGGTTAAAGTAGGATCGCTTTGAAGGGTCTTTGGAGTCGCAGTTTGCGACACATTGCATATCCTGAGGAGGAGTATTAGCTTTCAGGCAAGGATCAACTTTGGGGGATGGACCTGCCTGATATTTGGTAAGAAGGGTATTGCAAACACCCGTCAATAGCATCATAGCTACGAGAAACGGGACGAGAGCCCGCGATGCCATTTTGGATCACTTGAAAGAAGCGTGCCCAGGATAAGCTTCGGTATGACGGCAAATGAAGTGCGGCAGATGCGCAGAGGGAGCGGAGGCTGATGTCAAGCGAGACGGGGGAAAAGTTGGCTGCTGGTTATCAACGGCGAAGGTGAACAACCGGCTCTCAATGTTGGTCGAGGTCAGGATCCTGATGTCAAGGTAGGTTGGTAGCTGACAAACTGAAGGTTGGACGGGGACCGGAATGGTTGCACAGCCTCTGCGAATCCCAGGGCGCGGACGATTGAGCAAGAGGTCGTGTCAAACTGGCGCCGTCGGGACACGGATGTGGAACGCGGAGTGCAGGTGAACAGGGAACCTAATCGTACCCTTCAGGTTCCTTCCTGGGTGCCTTATCTTATGATGGCAATGGACATACGGATAATGAGCATACGCCGTAGGAACCAACCTCCGGCGTATTCATCAGGGAAGGTGTCTGGTAAAGGTACCTCAACGCAGGTACCTTACCTGGGGACCCTCGGGCACCTGACCCTTAGTGCCGGTGCCTCAAGGTAACCTAACGCTTATCAGGGCGGGCTGGATCCCCACAGCCGTTGTCGCAGCATGAACCCGTGGACCTCCCATGTGACCCAAGGTAGGTGTTTGCATCGGATGTTCTGAAGAAGGCGTGAAGATGGAGAGATCGCACTTTCTATTGTATTCATGAATCCAATGCCTGACATTCTAGGAAAGTCAGCAAGCCTGGTATTTCTCATCTGTGATCGTGCCTTGGAAGGGAGCTTAGCTAGCTCTTATCCGTATCCAGTCTCGGTACTATTGTTCACTTCCATTGCCTAGACTTTCTTGTTAAGCAGTAGTCAGTCGTCTTGTATTGCATGCGTTACATATTCATTCGGCATTCGCACATGAGGCTTAGACAAAGCTGCAAACCGACATTGGCAGTGGTTAGCTCCGACATAAATCCCGGCGCATCCAAGATGATGTTTCGTGCCACCAGACCATCCCGACGTGAGTGCTTAATGACTGGAGTTTTCAGTTCCTGGCGGCTCTTGGCACGAGCAGTGATATGATACAAGTACCCTGTCCCATGTACGAAGAAGTCAAGACCAATACTCATGACCCACAATCTGACGCACAATCCCACCGCGTTGTCACCAGGCTTGGGATGCGTCGCACTCAGTATCTTTTGATGATATTCAAACAGATATTCTTACTTTATTTTAGCAGCATTACTGAATATTGTATTTGTGCTTTTTACGTGGCACTGGAGGAAGACTACGACCAACTACCACATTTACTTTTTCTCCTTGGGAGGCTTATCCCTGATGTTGTTGTAATGTTGAATGCCTAACTCCTTGTCCCTCGCCAGCCGTTCTTGATCATCTTTACTCACTGGGACGCCCTCAATGCTCTTCACCTTTTTGCTCTCGTGGAACATCATCAGACCACCCGTAGCAGCGGCGATGCAGGCCAGAGCGACGAACAAGCCCGTGGCCCAGCTGGGCCGATTGTAACGGTTCATACCCCACATGAAACCCGATAGAACGCATTGCAGAAACGTATTCCACACATTGAACCAGATAACAAAGTCCATCTTCCATATGGCGGTGGGTGGCGCTCTGACACCTGTTAATGGGGGGTTTGGGATTGCTTTCTCGGGATGCGGAATATGCAGAAGTGGCCGGTCGTCCGAGAGTTGGATTACTGTTTCCGGCCCAACGTTTACCGGGAGCTTTTCGGAGCCTGGAAGTCGAAACCAACCGCGGTGTATGCCGGCCAGGCGGCAAAGTGCCTCTGGTTTGCGGAGGACGCGGTATTGAAGAAGGAAGTACAGATCGCGAAACCTCCAAGGTGCCAGTCCAAAACCAGTGACGCAAAACAAAGCGTTGACGATCTGTGAGTCCCATTCGACCCATTTACGACGTGGGGAGTTGATATCGTTGCATGTTGGGTAGCACATGGCTGGCGACGCATTGCAAAGTAAAAGGAACAACATGCCACCCCATGCAACGACGTTGAGACCATAAAGAACAACGAAGAAGCCGATCGGTGTCCACGTGTAATTCCAGAAAGCCTTCGCACCTATTCGCAAAGATTGTTTCCAGTTGTGCTTGGGAGGGAAGTGATATCCATTATCGTAGGGTTCGTACAGATCCTTCTCGGCGGTGGCGACAGTCGCCTGAGCTGCATTTGTAGGGATTCTCTCTGTGCCTTCGATACCGTGCTTCTTATTGTCATCGGCATGCTTTTGGACTTCGGAAGATGCCTTTGAATCTGTTGTTGACTGGTCTAAAGGAACGTTCCTCTCTTTCTCGCCGATGTTCAGCGACGACGCTGGTTGGGACATGTCTGTCTTGAACGGATATCGGTTCGTGGGTCAAATTCGTGGTCAACTTAAGCAGGACCTCGCGACGAGGTCAACTCTTGCTCTGATTTCGCGATGGGCGAAACTATCCTGTGGCGTGTCTACCGCTCGGAACAAGTCGATATTTCGGTATATGAGGAGGTGTCGTACTGGAGTTGGGGTGGTGACGATGGTGGTGCCGCGATAGATGGACCAAGCTGGAGAAGAGGAAATCACCGGTGCAGAAAGGTAGAAAATAAAGCACGGGATAGGTAGGGAGGGTATCTGGGATAATGTGGTGCGACGGCAATTGACAAAACAAAGGCTTGGCTTGGGGTTTTATTGAGGAAGGAGAAAGAAGGGTATATCTCCAGGCTGAACATGAAAGAGTTATCGTGCGGAACAATTTGGCAAAGCGTCGCGAAGCGTCTGGTCTCTGAGGCAAAGCTCAAGAGTTTGTGGAGCCGGGCTGAGCGAGAGCGAGAAAGGGGCTGAGGGGACGGGCCTCAAGCGGTGGCGCTGTGGCAGTTCATGGCACTTTGGTTTTTATGATGAGGTGGTGCCCTGGGCGTACAATGCAGGCCGTTCTAGATTGGCCCATGCGGCAGAAACGACGTGCTCAAGCACCAGCTTTGCAGGGACTGGCTGAGCCAGCAAATAGCCGTCGCATGTCTGGTCAGTTACGTCAATACGCGTACGTGATGCGACACTCAGAATGCTCCGAGAGCCCGCCCGCTATCCCGCTACAGAAAGTGAACTGCGCGGTGAGGTCAGGCATCCTCTTCAAACATTTCAGCGGCCGCTGGTTGGTCTAGAGCCTGACCATTACGTAGCGTTGCAAGGAAGGCTATGCCACCTAAAGCCGTAGACGCTTCCAAGTTTGCTTTTTTCTCTTGTCTTTTCTACATTGCTCCTTCTTTGTTTCTATGTACCCCCCGTTTTCCTTCCTCTCTAGGGTTTCTGTGATTTCGGAGTTTCGAATTTTAGTCAATCAACACGTAAACATTGCATCTCTTAGACAACATGCCAACCCCCCGATCAATTGTACTCAGTTTACAGATACAAAGGGCCATTTAACAAACGCATCGCTTGCGCCAGACACTGAAGAGTAGCCATTGGCAGGCACCGTTGAGGCTCCTTCGGAAAGTCTTTCATGCAGGTCAGATTGAAGCCCTCGTTGGTCGAGTACTCAATCAGCGTGCGCCAGTGGCCCTTGCCTAAGCTTGCCTTTGCACGTTGTCTCATCTTCCCAGTGCCCCCGACGGAAAAGCGGCTGAAAACGATGACTGGCCTGCCAAAATCTATGTACGCACCCAAGCGCCGCGGTTCACTACCTATGCGGCAATGCAGCTAGGCAGGTCTAGGCCGGTTGAGCCGAGACTCCTGCCCTCGTAGCTCCGAATGGAACTGGACATCGAAGGTAAAAGCACGGGGTAAAAACAAGAAGAAGAAAAAAGAAAAAAAACTTGCGCGATGGTATCTGTCTACTATTGGTTAGGGCTTGGAAGGGGGGCGAGCCTTCAAGTCCATATTGTTACCAAAGATCATCGAAAAATCGCCGCGGTACATGCATACCTTATAGTTTGCGGTCTACTAAGTTTTGTATGCGATTATTGGTGGATACTACTGCAACCAAACAACCCACAACGGGCTGAGAACCTTGAGAACTCTTCAGAGTACAGTTCATCAGTCATCGTTGTTTACTTGGCCTCATTTCTGATCGCGTTCAACTCCATTCCGACAGAAGCCCATCCACGACGCTTGGCCCATCACGGGCTGTACCTCAGTATGGCTGTTGAACAACATCTTCTCGACTTGACCGCTCTGGTGCTCAGCAACCTCACGGACCAACATGACTGGACTGAAGTGCAACTTCACGATGATGGTCGACCTCGCCCACGACCTGTCATCACCGGTCTCCCGCCGACCAGGCTTTATATCCATCCCGACGAGCAAATTGAGATCCTGGAGAAAGAACAAGTCACAGGAAAACGTCCCAGCCAAGCGCCAGAGTTTGAGTGGGTTCTACCGGTTCATTTGAGCGAACAGTGGACGTTATCCTCGTTCGCAACCATTTTTGATTCCATCGATGCCCTACCTCGCATGGCTCACTCGGCAAATATTTCAGATGCAGCCTCGGGCAGAGACTGGCGTGGTGCAGGTCGCCGAAAGAGATTGTTGCTTGCCGTCGTTCACGATGACTCGACCGTCTCCTACTATCTCATGCACGAAGGCATCGTGAAGCCTAGGCAAAACTAAAGACTTGCACCGCACCCAACCCGACTTTTGTTTCCTTCTCCCGGCATTCTATTCTGTCCATTCCAACCCAGCTTGGCAGCGGTAGATTGGTGACACCCAAGGACCTACCGAAGTGGCACCATTGCCGGTAACTCAACGGCTCGAGCGACCTGGTCACGGCGTGAAGATTACCTTCTGGACCTTCATCTGGTCGAATAGCGCATATCCCTCGACAGCATCGCGCAAAGGCATGATGCGGTCGAACATGAATCTGGCCACGGTCAGATTGCGAAGCTAGGATGACGCTCTTGCCCTGCAAGGCTTGTCGGACAAACACAGCACAATCTTGACCTACCCAACTTTGTCTTGCTTCTTCTCCAGCAAGGCGAGAGCCTCTGGGAAGATGGATCGCACGGGGCAGCGCCCCATCTGGACTCGCAGGTTCTTGCTTTCGAAGGCATCAGCGCATATGCGGGTTCACTGTCGGGTTGACTATACTTACCTATACGCCTCATCTCCGTTCCACGGTATCTGCGTCTCCGATCAGCACGCCATACAGTATGTGTCGTGTGATATCGGCTACTCACCTCAGCGTTGTGGACGCCAATGCTGCTGATCACGCCAAATGGTCTAACCACATCGTATGCCGTCCTCAGTGCAGGGGAGAGGCCCACAACCTCGATGACAACATCAGCTCCACGACCCTCCGTCACCTCCTTGATCCGCTTCTCCATTCCGGCACGGTCTGTCATGAAGTTCAAGGGCTCCGCGCCCAAGTTTTTGGCCAACTCCAGGCGACTGTCGACACTGTCAATGGCAAAAAGATGCTTGGGACGATACTCGAGGGCGGCAATAATGGCACAAAGACCGACTGGGCCGCAACCGATCACAACAGCAGTAGCATCCAGCCTCTCCTTATCCTTTAGCATGGCGAAGCCACTCTTCGCACCGAAGAAACCAGTCGGGAAAATGTCGGCCATCAGGATTAATGCCCTATCGGAAATGGTGCCTGGGGCCTTCATGGAGGTGCCATCGGCGTGAGGGACACGCACATATTCGGCCTGCCCGCCATCGAGAGCGGGACAACCAAACAACTTACTGTTGACGCAACGGGATGAGTAGCCTTTGTCGCAGTAGAAGCACTTCATGCTGGGCAAGAGAGGTTCTATCAGTTCCGAAGTCCACGGGTGGAAAGGGTTGTCAGAACTGACCAAGAGGCCGTGAAAGGAGTCACCACCCGGTCACCAATTTCGAGGGAAGATACACCAGGGCCCTTTTCCACAACTGTGCCAGTAAACTCGTGGCCCATGATGAATCCGGTATCGGACGGCTGGTGGCCGCGGAAGACATGCAGTTCCCTAGGGCGCTGTCAGTTGAATGGTGAAAGCGCAATGCTGATTGAGGCGCAGAGCGTCTTACGAGCCACACAACGCCGTCATCTGCACTTTGACGATTACATCCTCCTCATGTTGGACTATCGGGTTGTCAATATTGACTAGCCGGCGGTTTGAAACCACTGTACTGACTGGTAGGAATCGGCCGTCGCTCGACAGAAACATTCTTGGGGCCGTTGAAAACGACGGCGAGCATGGAACCGGCAGCTGACATTGCGGGGTCGGAAATGGATGGAGCAGATCGATACGTCAGGGAGAGCGGGCTTCACCATGAGACGAGAATGTCGGGCTGATCAAGAGTATGCCAAATTATAGCAATAACGAATGAGTAACTGAGCCGAGGCTGTTGGCCAATTTGATGGTTATTAGAATGGTGCGTGGCGTGTTGCAGTTCTCCCCTCCACGTTGCAGTTCGCCTCGGCTCCGTTATCGCACCCGGTAGTAGGGCATCACTGTGCAAAAGCGGACTCTGCGCACAGTCTTTTCTGTACTATCTCGAGAAACCCAGCCATGATGAACTCAAATGACCGGCGCCAGGGAGACTAAGGTATCAACACAGAAATTGCGAGACTGAGGCAGCAAGGTCAGATCAAGTGCAAGCCGTGTGCGTCTGCTGATGAATAGAGGAGGGAAAGACTGTGGCATAGGACGGGCGTTGTTCACGTATAGAGACTTGGCAGGAGTTTGCTAATATTGGCCGATAAGCCATTATACATACCGCAGAAGACATCGCTAATGAACTCTCTTACGCATGAGAATATGGCATGGTATTCTATGATATAGTGCAGGAAACGAGTAAGGTCACAAGTTGAGGCTCATCTCATATTAATGAGGGGGAAAGACCGGCTGTTAAGTCGAGGTAACCTTGACAGGCAATGAGAAGAGGAGGGGAAGAGACATAGTATTGGGCCTGTGCTTACCTAAGGCAAAAATGGACAGATACTGATTCCACGAACCCGAGGCTGGCAGCCGTCGTTCCGCTGAAGAAATCCCCGTCTGGGGTAAGGCAGCAGGCAGGTAAGGTGAAGTAGTCCGGGGTGAGATTGTGCGCGATCGAACGGCGTCCTGGGTGGGCACGACCGAGACTGAGACCGCGTGCCTGAGCCAGCCCAGTTCAACGGACTTGGCGGTGAGGCGCAAAGCCGGCGGTCGTCCCCTCCTGTGCCAGCTCTTGTCTAGTAAGGTGGTTCAAAAGTTGCGAGAGGGCTCCCAGGTGCGGCGCGGCGGACCTTGATACCTGGATGAGGCTTCCCCCTTCCTCCCCCTTTAAACCGAACGAGGGATTGCATCTAATTAAACAAAAACGCGGGGTGATGCCGAAATTTGGTATCGAGTTTGGCCTGGCCTGGTCAGTCCAGCAGTGAGTGAGCACTCTCCCTACCTGCGCTGAATTATAGTAACATTGGATCCAACCGCTCCTCAACGTGGAGACGGAACAAAAACGGAGAGCCCTTGGTCTGTGGGCGACTGTGCCCAGAGCAGAGCGCGTGCTCCGTCCGTACCTAGGTATATTATCTTATTTTCTGTGTGCTCTGGAACCTGGCACTGCGGCACGTCAACACCGTGACTCGTCCAGCTCGCAGGAGGCCAACCCCAGCCTCGAAGAGACGACCGGGGTCTGTTTCTTGGCTTTTTGGTGCTATCCAATCAAGCGACGATAGACAGGCTCCCCCTTGGATGATCCGCCTAATGGATTGAGGCTTAGAGGCTTAGCGGCTCGAGTGCATGGGCTCATCGCGGGCAGCGGCGGGTCTGCGGTGGATCTTCCTGGCTGTCAGCATCGCAATTGGACGGACGCGGCAAAAGCGGCCAATCACAGAACAAAAGAAATCTTCTGCTCCTACCCTGCATTGGCCCGTCACTGTTGGAGAGAGGGACGGGTGGGGAAATGGGGAAGGGAAGGAGGGGGAGAAAGAGAGACAGGAAAAGAGATGGCGGGGGCGGTGGTGATGGCTCCCACGGATACTGTCCTTGTGGTGCATGTAAGGTAGATCAGGTATATTTTCGTGCTGTGCCGAAGCTACTTGACTTTAGGGACTTCACAAACTTCATGGTGCCCGTCAGCCAGTCGAGGGACTGTGGTAAGTAACTATCGCCAATCATGGGTAGCCAGCAACGGTTCACATATAAGGTAGCTACAGTATCGGCACCTACATTACAGCTTGGCAGACAAGGCATCAAACAGAGTTTGCGCCAATGTCCTACTATGCAGTAGATGTTATGATTATGGGCAAGTCCGTCGTGATTGGCACTTGCCTACCTTACCTTAGGTATGGCAACGCCAGGCTTGGCCTACAGGCAGTACCTACGAGTACATCGGCAAATCCCTGTCTTCAGCCTCCACTTCCATCCCGTTTTCCATCCAGTGCTTTGGGTGCGGCTATTTGGCACCGACGCCAACTCCAGCTCCAGCTCCAACTCCAGCTCTAGCAGCACCACCATTAATTACTTCTTCACTTCAGGTACGAAGTATCCCATATTCCGCGCAGGCGACTTCCCCTCACTGCGCCCTCGCTGCCAATCCTCATTCTATTCTATTCCATTCCACCCCGAAGACAGCACGGCAGGATGCCGCGCACTGCGACAGCATGGCAGCTACCTACCAGGTAACTAAGCCCTAAGGTTCCATCCCATCTTGCCTTCCCCGCTCCAAGACGAGCATGAATATGGGCATGAGCATATTTCAATCAGGGACCCAAGGATCCAGCCAATTGCGCAGGCGTAGGGGTGCGACGCTTGCTCCTCCTTGCGCACCCTACCATTTCGCCAGCTACCTATCTAGCACTCTCTCAAGGTAGTGCCGCTTGCTCCTGGCTGAAAGTTGTGATTGGTACCATTGCATAAGGAGCCAGATGACGGACAGAACGACCTGCCATGTATCCGTTCCATAAGCAGGGCTTTCCTTTTCGACTGGATTTAGAGGGGTGGAGGACAAAAGCAGCGAGGCAGGGCGGGCGGCTGGTGAGGCAAGGCAAGGTAACGTAGGGCAGAGGAAGGATGGCGAGGCATGGAAGGTATCTGCAGGTAGCTTTGCCCCCAAGGCCTGCTGCGACTCTCTTCACCGATACATTGCGGCACATGGCTTTAGCCTCATCTGACAGCGCAACTTCGCAAGGCACCTTCTGCTTCGTGCGGCCCCAGGTTCTTAGCAGCAGACCCTTCCTTTCCCCATCTCATGTTTGTATCCGTACCTCCCAACTCCACACGTCGTCCATGTCCCTACTACGCATGCTAGGTACTCCCACTATCGCTCCCACGTCCACGCCGCCTGGTTTCCCCCAATCCCCATGTCTGATTTTCCCGCACCCCTGCTCACTTGAGAACACGGCATCTCGTGTGCCTTCGTCTGGTGGACTCCACGTCCCCTTCTTCCCCATCACTGGGGTCACGCGGTCCCTCGAATCTATCTGTGGCACTGGGCGTATCTCCCATACACTCCCAAGAGATTATGCGCTAAAGCAAACCAGTGCTGCCTCTCAAAGACACAACCATCGGACCATCGTCAGACAAAACAAGAAAAGACACACACACATACACACACACACACACACCTGCGAATAATCGTCCCGGCTCTACGCTTCCTCCTTTTTAACACTCGTCTGGCTGGTCTGCCGTAGCGCTGCCCCGAAACTCGCGCCCAGGAAACGACAGACAACCACCGCAGTTACACCTCGGACCGCGACTTCGACATTGACATCGACCTCGAGATCCGGCGATTCGACTCACCTACCTGGCCTGACCAGCCTGACCTGAGGTCCTAAGGTCAAAGGTCAAAGGCCAAGGTACCTACCTACCTACCTACCTGACTGGGCTGCCCACCTGCCAACCTTCTCGCACCATCGTTCTAAGAATCGGCCTTGCCTACTTACGGAAGCATCGCCGTCCTTTTTCGCTGTTCTACCGTCAACGCTTCTCACTAAACAATACTGCTATCTACCGGGCCTTACAGACGTCTTCTCAATTTGACCACCACGCTGCCCGCTTTCTTCCACCTCACTTTCGTCACCTCCGACCACCCTCGTCCGCCATACCCCATCTGCATGGTTACCGTCCACACATTCCTGGGCGCCCTCTTTTATCTGCCAAAAAAAACGACGCTCTTGCCCAGCTACCCCGACTGAACCCCGGCGCGCTCACTCCTGATCACTATCTCCCCCACACCCCCTGCTACTAGGCCACACCGACCTCGTTTTTGACAACCAACCGCTGCCGCATACCATCCTCTAACTCCCGGCACACCTCCATACTCACTCACCTCCCCTCATACACTGCTTTTCTAGCCCACAAGAAGAAGAAGCTGGACGACATCTACGGCTGCATACTTCCCGTAGCCTACGACGGCGGCGACAGCTGTCTTCGTGGCCGAATCCGCGACGCATACCCATACGACTTCAAGCCCCCAACGACGGTCAGGCCAGCATCGTCATTCGCAGCCTCGATAACAGCGTCCTTCGCTGCACCCTTCGAATTCCAGCAACCGCCGCCTTGGAAACAGATCAAATAGATCAACCTGTCAACGAGAACAACGACGACGACGACGACGACGACGACGACGGCAACAAGGCGTTCAGCCTTTTGAGCAAAATCTCTTTCATCGGCGCAACAGACCGTGCGTATTTGGCTTCATCATTGTCGCTCCCACTGGTGCTGCGCTGCTACTTCTGCGCTGCCGCCGCCGCTCGCATTCGACCCGTTTCTCCCTCATGGCGGCGTAACACCGTCTGCGCCGCGAGCCACATCCCTTTTCAGTCGCGACAACTATGACTGCGTCGGCTACTCAAAATTCCTTCCGCCAACCATCTGCGACCGATTGTTACGACCCCGATGACGTTCTCCCCCGCGATAGTCCCCAGATGCAGCCTCATCGTCCCAAACTGTTGCCCTCTCCCAGCCCTCCGCCCACTTTCAGCTCCGATCGAAAACCACCTCACGGTCGCCGCAAGGTCGAACCCATTCAGGGCGATGCCGTGCTAGTTGCTCATCTTGGAAACGGCAGACAGCCAGAAATAGCTCACGCTGCTGCCCTGGAGCCACTGGCATCTGACAACGGCTCCGAAGACGATTCCTCTTCACCTGAGTCCCCTGGACGCGACATGAACCGCCCACCACCCCCCGATTCTTTTGATCTGAAATCCCTGGCTGCCGGTGCTCTAGCGGCCTTTACGACGCCGACTCCCGCGACTGCTGCTGTCGCTGCTGCTGTGACAGCGAAGCACGAGCCTTTGCATTCGAAAGATGGGACTGGAGGTCAACATGAGACGACGCTCGTGGGGATAAGCAGCCGAGAACTGCCCATTCGTGACGAGCGCCCGGGTCTCGCTGCTCCCGCAATTGTGTACTCAATTGGGGACAAACTTCCCTCTCAACACGCGGGACCTTCACTGCACAAGCCCGATATCACGTCGCCGGTTAGCCCCTCTCAGTCTGCCCCTGGAGGGCTACCTCCTCTATTGGACTCGCCCAAGTCGGATGGCGGTGGCCATGGCCCACTGCCATCCATACGAGCACAACTAGGTGACTTCAAACGTTTAACAGAATCAGCCATGAGTCCAGACAAAGACATCGGCCCGGCTCGCCATGCACCCTCCTTTCCACGATCGCCTCCTGCAAGTCTCCCCCGGCTGCCGTCCTTAGCCGGTCTGCCAGGTGGACATGCCTCTCCCCCGATTTCACCAAATGAAGGTTTCCGAAGGGAACTTCCATCACCTGCACATTCGATTCCTGTTGTAAGCCCGTACTACTATTCCTCGTCAAGTGGTGGCGGGCCGCATAGGCCAAGCGCCGATTACAGTAGCGGCACAGCCGAAACCCCTAGTACCGACCAAACCGCATCAACACCAGCAAATTCAGTAGCAGATCGTATGAGCATCGACGGTCTCACGAATCCTCCGGCGGGATACGTATGTACATTCACTGGATGTAACGCTGCGCCGTTCCAGACTCAGTACCTTCTGAACTCGCATGCCAACGTCCACTCCTCTGCCCGACCGCACTACTGTTCCGTCAAGGGTTGTCCTCGCAGTGAGGGCGGGAAAGGCTTCAAGCGAAAGAATGAGATGATTCGACATGGGCTTGTGCACGACTCTCCAGGATATGTATGTCCATTCTGTCCGGATCGAGAGCATAAATACCCGAGACCAGACAATTTGCAAAGGTATGATAACCCTGTAACGCAGCGCTTCGGTCTTCTCCCTTCGTCTTACAGGTTTATTTGTCTAACCATGTTCTAAAGACATGTCAGAGTCCATCACGTGGACAAAGACAAAGATGACCCGCTGTTACGGGAGGTCCTTTCCCAGCGGCCAGATGGGCCCAACCGCGGCAGACGGCGCAGAGGAGGGCCTGCTTAACATACTAGGACAGAGTCTGATTCATACTTCACGTAAATACTTTTTCTTTCCTTCCTCCCACTAGGTTTCTGATGCTCCATATCGAGCCAGACGAGATCAGGCTTTGGGCCCATGACCGGATTGGTTGTAAATAGGGGCTTTCGTTGTAGCCCACGGAGCTGCGGGCTACGATGCCGAATTTGCGATTGGAGATTTTGTTTTTGGCCAGTTTTATCGCGTTTCGTTGTTCATTTGCGAAGAGGGAGGCATTCTTGGTACGGATCATGAGGCCCATTAAGTTGGCACGGCACGAGTTCACGACGGGAATTGTTCTGTCTTGATCCAAAGGGTTTCTGGCGTTGCGGTGGACTATATACCACATTGACGAGTCGTTCGCGTCGCGTCACGTTCTGCCTTGTTTCTTGGTTTTAGTTTCGTCATTCTAGTTTTCTACCTCACGCCGGGCCCCAGACTCTCTTGCGAAAGCATCCTTGGGGATCGTAACAAAAGTAACCATTACAAGCACCATGGCATCCTCCAAGTTACCGATTTTAAACTACCACATATTGTAGCATCCATCTCTCTCTTCTTCCCTCCGGGATGGGCGCATATCGTCGGAACATGGCCGAACACGCACACAACACACATGGCATCATGTACAAGGTTCATGGCTAGTACATATAGCTCTCTCACAAACCGTAATGCTTGTTTCTCCTGGTGGATAGAAGAAATTCTCAATTCAGGCCGTCCACGACTTGCCAGTTGCCGACTTGGACTACGTTCTCACTAAGGAACTCAACTTCAATGTTGTGGAAACCCTGGCGACTCCCAAGCTGTTCGATCACAATCCACAGTTGATCATGCTGGAGCCGGTCTGGCTCAATGTCAAACTCGGGTGTCCGTACCGCCATGGTGAGCTCCCGAAACTCGCCACCTCCGGACACCGTGAGGACCGATTCTTGAGGACCACGCCCGTATACGAGAGATACGCGAACAGCAGTCGTTGGAATGTGCTGACTGTGGCGTCCCGTCAATATAGGACAGCGTACGACAACCTGCGCTCTGGTAAGTCTTGATACTGTCACCAGCGCTCTCCTTTGCTCCTCCCCTTCACCGAAGACGAAGGTCGGCGTTCGAATGCGCAGAAGGCCAGCTCCATCATTCAGGATGGGCTGAACCTGACATTCAGCGTGTGATCCCACACGCATCCCAAAGTCAGCGAGCTGGCCTGGTTCCCAGGTCGAGCAGACGATTGTATAGGTGCCCGGATCTACTAGTGGGACCTGTACGAGGGCGTTCCCTCTTCGGTAGTCACCCGAGCTAGCAACGACGTCCTTGACGCCGATGGAAGTGACCCTCTTCCCGTGTGCCCAGACTAGGTCGACATGGATAGCCACCTCCCGATCTGCCGAGGAGAGGAGAATTGACAGTGGCGTTGCTCGAGGAATGAATATGCTGAACTGGGGATTTTGCGAGTACGTTATTGAAGACGCATTGCCCCCCGCAGTCCTCCTAGTCCATGCGCTCGACAGTTCCCTGTAGTAGCTCATTTCCTCTTCAGCAGGCTTCACCTCCAACGAGGCTCTGGAGAATAATGTAAAAGTGCAGGTGTAATTTTCCAGTGGCAGGTCTTGGTGGGCCATGACAATGGTGTACGGCTTACCAGCGCGGAGCTGGAATTTGGCCAGCGTCTGCGGCGAGTCAACGTAAGGCCCCTGATACGCATAGCCCTCTCTGACTTGGACCTTATTGCCCTGGTTCTCGAATATGAAGATGCTGGTGAAACCCAACTGCCTAGATACGGCAGCTAGTGAAGCAGATCGCTTTCGGGCAATTTCCAGCTCCTCATCTGCGAAGTGTCTACTCAGTAGAATCCACACTGTCTCATTAGTTCGAGATCTCACAGAGTACTGCGGATTGTAGGCTAATGAGGATGTCATGTTCTGTGACGGAACGCGCCATGTGAAATGATGGTCCTGTCGATGCGTGAACATGTCCGGATTCCAGTTCAGGTACATGGACTCGAAGTTCTGGGCGACATCGTCGACGGATATCCAAAAAGAGCCCACAGGGCGAGAGTGTTCCGGCGATTGAGTTTCAACGGAGACATGTGCCTTGGACAATGACAGGCTCGCCGTTGCCTCAGCCAGCCCAAAAGAACCCACTCCTTTCCATACGAGCCCGTCACACCAAGGGTTCTTGACCAGAAGACGACGGGCTGATAGTGAATTGTCAATGTCGAGCACGGCGTAATCATGCTCGCCTACGAGACCGAGAGCATCCTCCTCAGAAGGAGTCAAGCGGCCGGTACCAAGCGTGATAATAAGGTTGCTGGCATGGTACTCTTCCTTGATTTCTTCCCACTTGCCTTCGAGGTCAACGTCCTCACTAGGTCGCCTCGTCAGCTATCCTCACCAGCTGCTACTGACCGTACCACGGTCTTGAAAGAATTCTTACGCACCTCTGCAGAAAAAGCTGCTCAGGGATCCAACCTGTGAGAACCCACAAGTCCGTGCCAGAGTTACTACCGGGAAAGTCATAACCTCCGCGTACTTTGAGGTAGGCCTTTTCCATCAGAGCTGGCCATAAAAGATTCGGGTTCAGACGGTCCACGACGAATAGGGTACGATTATTCCGCGAGACCGGAAGCCGGTCGTCAACTACGACTTGGCGGAAACAGCCGTTGAAGTGCATCCGAAAAATGTACTTTCCGTTGCTCGAGATTCTCGGTCTACCCATGTCATGATCGAATGGAAACATGATGGAACCGAGTATCTATATGGCCAGTCACGATCAGCAAGTTAACTTGCGCTCACACGAGATGGTACCCACAGAGTGTTTCTTGCCGAGGAGAATTCGCATGGCAGCACACAAGCTAGCTACCACAGAGCAATCGGTTGTAATGTCCTGCACTAGGTCGCATTCACCTTTGGTGCCCATAAAATAATCATCTACGGAGCCTGATATTGCTTTTTCGACCGGTCGTTTCCAACCATCAAGAATAGCCTCTTGACGTGCTGACATGGTAAAGTCGGCAGGGTCTCTGGGTTCTGGGTGTGAGTGACGCAGCCGGCTATCAAACGACGCAAGTCGGTCCTGGACGTGACTAGACTGGCTTCAAGGTCTATGGCACTCACGTGAAGATTTGAATACCCTGAGATGGGCTGAACACGTCGTCGGCAGGGTCGGTCTGCCACGGAGGGAAAATGTTGCCATGCAGACGAGATGATCGAAGGAGGATTGTACGCTCCCCAGTAGGAATCTGACGTACCTGGCAGCGAGAACTACCAGCCAAGGAAGAGCCGGTCCCGCTCAGGCTGTCAGAAGCTATAGCGACCGGGCTGTATTTTAGTTTCTCAGCATGGGCGATGAGCCTCTCACAGCTTTTCCTGAAGCGGCCGCGGTCAGCCTGCGAAGTTGTCTCCTTTGCAGCCTTCATGTACAAATCGGCAGCAGCAATAGCGTGGTTCAGCGCTTCGCGGCCTGTCGATCTGGCCATAAGGGCCTCTTCTCTCTAAACCGCGGGCCGTATTTGGTCAGCAGATCGTATTTTCGAGACAACGATGTCGGTGTGGGACAACTCCAATATGTTTCACTCACAAGAGCTCTTGCTTCCATAGTGCCGACTGAGCAGGCAGCATGGCCAAGCTCGCCGATGTGCGGGAGGAAGCAGGTTCAATGAGGCAGGTCGTAAGGCTTCCAAGATCCTGGAGCGAAGAGGCAAGCAATTAAGCATCAACCAGCCAGCAGCGAGGTTATTGCAGACACATGACATGAGACTGTGATTCCAGCTCGAATATAAGGTCAAGCTGCTCTTGCTCTGCGGTCAGCTGTCGATCTGATCCTGATTCGAGGGGAGGGAGATCAGGGCACGACCGACACCTTACGGATGGCAAGGGTCTGCGCGGGGGAGGGGTTTCCTGAGGACGTAGGCGCGTGGTTGGTAACAGGAATCTACGTATGTGAGGGAAGGCCCCGTTATTGGGTTGGTGGGATGAGACGGACTTAGCGGAACGGGCGCCGGATGGAGGCTGTGCAAAGCAAAACCAACAGTCAGACCTGACACAGGGCAGCGGCAAGTACAGTAGTGATGATGAAGGCCGTAGTGGGTTGAGTAGAGTAATTCAATCATGTTACCTTGGCTGCTAATTTCGAAGCATGCATAGATGAGTGAGAGAATTGAAATAATTCGACGCGGCGCACCGCCTGCCCGGAATCGCTTGCTGGCTGGTCACTGTGCACATATTTTTTTCCGACAGACACCTTTGCTTAAGGCATATCTCTGCTGTGCGTGCGTAGCTCTACTGCAGCTACTGACTTGCTTACCTTATCTTAGGTTGAAAGAAGTCAGACTCGTCGAGACAGGCCTCCAAGTGCTGAACCATTGGGATTTTCCGGCGACTGGGGCTGCATCTCATTCATCTGTGGTCTCGTCCCATGAGCCAGCCGTCTCTCTTGTCTCACTGACGGTCCATGTTCCATGCCACGAGACTCCTTCAAGTGCCTAGGTAACCTAGGAAGCTAGGTAGGCGTAGATTCCGAATCACTCCACATTGCATCCATGCTTAAGTAATGTGCCGAAGCCTCCCCCCCCCAAGTGACCTCACCGATTAGCCGAACACAGCTTGGCTGGTCCGCCGGCTGGCAGGGTCCCAGTCTCAAAGGGCCGAGGTCGTCGGCGCAAGTCGACACACCTCCCCGGCCCAGCAGCTCGTCATAGCCACCCATGGGTCATGGGGAGCCGTTGCGCACGCTTGTCGCCCTTAAAGTTTGGCCTGGACCCTTCGTCTCGACCAGCGTTGTGCACTCAACTTGACCGTAGGCCCTCAGTGAGCTTTAGTTGCGATTTGTCGTCGTCGTCGTTGTTGTTGTCATATCACCCTTTACTAACTTCGCGGGAGGTACTTGTATTTCCTCATCGCCCGCTGTTCTAGCCTCGTCCGCCTGCTCTGCCTCGGATCCCGACCGGGGCGGATCGCCGACGCCGACGACCTCAGGCCCTTGCCGCGGCCCTACTGTTCGTCCCCCTGAGGTGCCTGTCGCGACAAACTCGTCCGCCTGCCTGCCAGTGTACCGTCCTTCCGCTTTTGGAGGTAAAAGACAGCCATGAGTGCTCAATCCAAGCCGGCGAATCTATCACCATGGGGCAAAGCTGTCGCTGGCGCCACCGGTGCCGTATTAGCCAATACGTTGGTGTATCCTCTTGACATGTGAGAAAACCTCCTCTCCCACCTTGCTGCATCTCTTTTCACGATACCTTCGTGTGATCCAACCCAGCCGTCGCCATGCCTGGCCCCAATTGCTTTCGGTTCGATCGTTCAATTGCCTCTCATGTCCTATCCTAGCTGACCGTGTTTTCCCCAATCAGCGTCAAGACGCGCCTGCAGGTCCAAGTCAAGTCGCAATCAACCACAACCAAGTCCGAGTCGAACGAGCCCACTGAGCCGCATTACTCTTCTACTTGGGACGCTCTCAGCAAGATCGTTACGGATGACGGTGTTAAGGGCCTTTACTCGGGTATGGCTGGCTCCCTTCTCGGTGTCGCTTCGACAAACTTTGCCTACTTTTACTGGTATTCTGTTGTCCGCACACTCTACCTGCGCTCTGCCAAGACATCTGCACCACCTTCGACATTGGTTGAGCTGAGTCTCGGCGCGGTCGCTGGCGCTGTCGCTCAGCTTTGCACAATACCTGTTGCTGTTATTACCACTCGCCAGCAGACCCAGCGCAAGACCGAACGCAAGGGCTTTGTCGATACGGCTCGGGAAGTCGTAGAGGGAGAAGATGGCGTATTTGGACTGTGGAGGGGGTTGAAGGCGAGTTTGGTACTGGTCGTCAACCCTGCTATTACGTACGGTGCCTACGAGAGACTCAAGGAATCCTTCTTCCCGGGCAAAACCAACTTGAAACCATGGGAAGCCTTCCGTATGTTGCCCATTCAATTGACTACAGCTACACCTCGTGTGCATCTCCGCTGCCAGACCCAAGCTGACTCGGTATCTTTAGTCTTGGGAGCCGCGTCGAAAGCGCTGGCCACCATCACCACGCAACCTTTGATTGTTGCCAAAGTTGGTCTGCAGTCAAGGCCCCCTCCCGAGAGAAACGGCAAGCCTTTCGGTAGTTTTGTGGAGGTGATGAAGTTCATTGTCGAGCGCGAAGGTGTCCTGGGTCTTTTCAAGGGCATTGGCCCTCAAATCCTCAAGGGCTTCCTCGTGCAAGGCATCCTCATGATGACCAAGGAGCGGTATGTAAGCATCCAGTACAGCCTAGACCAAGCTAATAGAAGACAGCATGGAACTTTTATTTGTTCTTTTCTTCCGTTATCTCAAGAACCTGCGAGCCAAGCAGCTGCAGAAAATTGCGCAGACTGCTGCAGCGGCTGGTAATGTTCCATCGATAAAGCCACTCATTGCAAGGTGAGGCATGGTCAGTATCATTAGACAGGCGGCCGAAGCGGCCGCTGAAGATATAGATGCTTCGTACCGATGAGCTTGTAGAACTGGAGGTGGATGAGCAGCACTTGGCATTGTCTAGAGGCAACAACAACGCAAGAGTGGCAGTTCTGATTTCAAACAGTGCAACTGAGGGTTTTCTTTTTATCTTCGCGTTGTGGTCGTCTTTTTTCATTTATTTTGTTCTGTGGTTATTTCTGGCTGTCGCCGGTGCAAGCGGTGGCGTGTTAGGAGGACTTGCATGTGTCAGAACGATAGACTTACAATTGCGCAACTTGTCTCTCTCTGGTTGAATTCATAACGACGTGTCGCAAGTGCTTGGCGGTGGGACACGATAGGTCCATGCTCAGGTCGAGAGGTAGTGTACTGTGTAACTACTTACCTTAGGTAAGGTAAGGTATGTCTGCACCGATGCCCCACTTGCGGCAGGTACGTACTTCCACAAAATTAGGGCTGCTGTTTTTTGCCCACAATCCCAAAGGCACCTTTTCCGGCTACCCAAACTTCCACGGACGACACTCCAGATCTCTCCATCACGTCAGGGGCACCGTACGACCGCAGCAATGGCCAGTAAGTAGTGACCCTATTGTTCTTACACCAATTGCCCAATCGACAGTTTTGCTAATGTTTTGATCGCAGAGTCCAAGAACTCCTCGCAGCACAACCAGTCGCGCAAGGCGCACCGCAACGGGTATGATTGAACCTCTGCACCCGACGCAGTCAGGAGAACATTCTGGATGTTAACGAGTTCTTCTCTGCCTTTAGCATCAAGAAGCCCAAGACCTCGAGATACCCGTCGCTGAAGGGCACCGATCCCAAGTTCCGCCGCAACCATCGTCATGCTCTGCACGGCACCATGAAGGCCCTCGTACGCCTCCCCTTTACGATTCGACCCATCTTGTAATCGTGAAAGCAAGTACTAACGTCTGCGACAGAAGGAGCTTAAGGAGGGCAAGCGCGAGACGGCATAAACGGGTAGCGCTGGGTTCATGGGTATTGGTCTCTTCTACAGCATGGCTACGATGCAACGGGGCATAGGGAATTAAATGGAACTGGCGAAAATTCAAGCCAGCAAATGAATCAATAAACCACGATCCAACCTCGGCCTTTGAACCTTTACCTGTGCACCTTTTCTGTCCAGTATTTTACCAAGTGGTTCAAGAGAGTCAGCGCGAATATCCAGCTCAACTGTGCTTCGGACGAGAACCCGGCGCTCCCCATACTGCTGGCTGACTAACTCTACTCGAGAAAGCACACGTCGGACGTGGGCGAGTGAAGGACAGGCTACACTGTCGTGAAGTTGCGAGATCCTACGACGTGCCTACCCACGCTTCTTGCATTTGTAGATTACACGGAAATCGAATCGAATATTAGTCAACTTGGCTCGCAACATATACGCAATTGATACGATGTAAAAACCAAATGCACACGACGGGGGAACTGAGTGTAAGGGGCAGAATTTCTGGTGGTGAAGGATCCGTTGGCGTTGCGGAACAATGACCTCTTCAAGAGAATGACGATTCTGCCCTTTTCTGAGTGCTCTCGATGGTGCCCCCGTCACCGATGCTCTTCTTTTGGGCTAGTCCGATGGCTGATTCCTCCACTTGGTTCAGCGGCCGAATCCGAGCTCGCACCCCGAATCACGAATGAGACTTAGACAGAGTAGTTAGGAAGGAATCGGGAACCACGAAAGAGAAGCCCCGTCTCCAGTCTCTCTCCCTAACCCACCCAGGTACTGGAAACTGCAACACAACTCAGAAACAACAAAGGCACGCTGTTTGCTTCTATCGTGCGTCACTCGTAGGTCGCTATAAATTCCAGGTAATTTGAAACGAACCAGTCAGGCACTACAATTACGGGATGTTGCGCCCGATCAGTCAGTCAGCAACTTGACCTGAAACGAGAGAGGCCTTTCACGGAGAGTTGCCTATCTGGTCCGTATTTGTACTGCATACAGTAGACGACAGGGAATAGGGAACAGAAAAAGATACGTGGGTGGTGCTTTGCGGCGGACTTCCCGATGTTGAGGTATTATGACTAAGCAGAAGCCACGCCACGTTGCTGAACGGACCCCAGGCACATGAGTACGTCTCCTCAAACCCAAAGAAAGCAATTCACCCTTTTTTTCTTCCTCAACCCCTTCAATCGGGTAATACCTTCAGACGACGCCAGCCTTGAATATCGTATTACCTGCCTGGAAGCAGCACCTCTTGAATAATATTGCTCGCTCGCTAGAGCATTGAATTTCTGACCATCTTGCCCACTCCTCTCCCCCACTTCACTATCATTCACATCCTCAAATCTCTCAGAGAGCGAGTCGCCATTGTACCATTGTACGGCGCCGCCGCTGTCCTCGTCCGGACTCGCTGTCGACAGAACAAAGCACGCGCGACGCCGCTTGCCTTTCCTTCCCGTCATATTTGGCACGACTCAAAACAGCACTACTCCAGCATCCCGCCATCTTGCCCACCAGGCAACCCTCAGGAAATCACTATCCTGGGCTCTCTCAACCAAAGCCCTCCTTTACCGACAAGACATGTGTTAAGCAGGTTCCTCATTCAATCCCGACTCCTTTGAGGTCAGGCAGGTTTCTGCAGGAGCTTTGGGTACCGAATACGTACCATACGATTTTCTCTTTTTCCTCCCGCACCCTCGGAATTCTGCCAAACGGGAACAAAAGAACAGGTCGCTTGGCTCCCCTGAACTTCATTTGAACGACCCTCGGAAAATTTGTCTGGCTGCTCAGCTGCCAAATTCGCTTGTTCGGGTTTTGCACCTCGCAAGCCGATCTCCTAGTTTTCCTCTGGAGTGGCACCAACGGCATTCGTTCACTGTAATTGAGTTGATTGGATCTTGGGACCATTCGAAATCTCGAAACAGCGCTGGTCCCTCCTTTCCCGGGCCGACCCCCCTTCCATCGCTAGACAAAGACACGACACCCTTCACCGTAGCCACCGGCATCGTTTCATCTGCCACCTGCCAACTTTTCCGCCGTCATTTGACATCAACCTCTTCGCCGCCACTGCGCGACTTCACCCTCCCCTATTTTCCGCAGTCTGTCGACTATGCTCAACATGTCTGGCAGTCATAATGCGGGAAACCGCAACAGTACTCCCGAGGCAAACACGACGTCTTCTCTTCGACCCCCTTCGTCGAGGGCTGTCCCTGCCAATAGCCACTTGAGGGCTTCGGCAGACATGGCTGCCCTTCAAAACTCGTCACCCTCGAGTCGCATTAGACCATCCTCCGACTTCTATGGCCAGTCTCAGCAGGGCCAGGGCCACGCCAACCACGAAACAGACCCCCAGGATAAAATTGCGCAGCAATGGATAGCCGACATCGACCAGTATGAAACTACATTGGAGGAAATGGCGGCGGCAACACTTGACCAGGATTTCAAGGACGAGTTGAGTGCTATTGAGCAGTGGTTCAGGGTTCTGAGCGAAGCCGAGCGCACCGCTGCTCTCTATGCTCTTCTGCAACAGACTACTCAGGTACAGATTCGGTTCTTCATCCAGGTCCTCCAACAGATGGGTAAGAACCATCCAATGTCCGGTGTCTTATCTCCTGCCAACTTCGATAAAGGTAAGTTGTTCTACCCAAACTCCCTTCGTTCATTATCGGCAGCCTGTTGACTTTCCGCCGCCAAAGATCCCATGACCAACCGCCTTAGCGATGCCATGAATAAGTTGAACGTCGACTCTACTAGGAACTCCATGGTCCGTCCCTCAAGCACTGCTACTGGCAAACGCCAATCGGGTCTCGACCCCTCAACCATCAATGCCATGTTCCCCGATGCTGCCGCAGCCATCGCAACTGAAAAGGCAAAGTTCACACAGCAGACTGGCGCACCTCCCTCGTCAAACCGCAACAGCGCAGTTGCAGCCCCAACCATCTCTGCTCCAGGCGACGGTCACGACTCGAACGGACAGAGCCAAGGCTCTCCATGGACTGGGACCGATCAAGCTGCACAGGGAGCCAAGCCTTCTGGCGGTCAACCCCCGATGGGTCAATTTCAAGCGCCACCATCAAGCGGCTTACGATCCCCTCGCCCGCAGATCTCAGGCAACCAGAATATCCAGAATACCACTTTAACTACCAGTGACAAGCCGGCGGATCTTCCCCTCTTGTCCCCTTACAATCCCAGCGGCGGAAACTGGGCGTCGATGGTCAACACCCCCCTTGTCGCCAACTTCAGTGCCCAGCAAAGTGGCACTCAGGCAGACATGGTTGCGAATGCAACCGCCATGAAGCTTGCGGCCCTTTCGACGGTCAACAATCGCTTCGCTTTGGACGACGTACGCAAGTACAGACGTGCTCGCTCGAACGATGCCCCTGGCGGCGCCCCTCAAGGAATGCCCCCGAACGCACAAGGTGTCAACGTTCCGGGTGCCAACGTCGTCATGATCAATGAGCATGGTCAAGTGCTTACCCGCGAGCAGATGCTGGCCCTGCAGGCACAGAACATTGGTTTTGGTCAGCACCGGTCTCGCCCTAGCTCTCCCGGCATCGCGATGCAGCCGGGCTTTGGTGGGCCAATGGCGTTCGCCTCTCCACAGAATAACGGTTTCCTCAGCGCCTACGATGGATCCTCACCCCTTCTCAATAATGGTATTCCTCAGGTGAACGTGGGGCAGCTGGGTGTTGGAGGTCATGAGGGATATCTGTCTGACCACTCCGATATGGTGCGCGGTCGATCTCCTAGAGGACGACGCGGCAGTTCGAAGCCTCCTGAAGATCCCACAGACCCTACTCTGTTGCAAGACATTCCTAGCTGGCTCCGAAGTCTTCGTCTGCATAAATACACCGAAAACCTCAAGGACATGAAGTGGCACGAGCTGATCGAGCTGGACGACAAGGCTTTGGAGGACCGTGGTGTCAATGCTCTCGGAGCTAGAAGGAAGATGCTCAAGGTGTTCGAGCAGGTGAAGGGTGAGTATTGGACCAGTTGATACCCACGATTTCAAAACTGACGCTGCAAATAGACGCCAAGGCAGACGGTAAGCTTGGTTAACAAGTCAGGTTTTGATCATGATCGGTACACACGAATGCCCGTTTCTGGGGATTGAGAATGCACAAGCACCTAGGATTGTTGTTGGTTATAAACAACAACAGCAAACAATGGGGCCGGTAGCACCAGTCTGTGCCTTAGCTGGACAGTGGGTAGGAGAGGTGAAGGCGGTTTGGAAGGTTTGGTTTAGCACCCATTGCGATTCTGTACGTATATATACACAAGATAGCACACCAGTCTTGGCGGTACGCGGAGAGACGCTCTAGGTTAAGGTCCTGTTAGCGCCACTGCCAAATACTGGCGATTGCTTTTAATCTCGGGTGTGATCCGATGCGTGGACAAGTGAAAACGGTACAGATGATCATTGCGCAGTTGTTTGTGTGACGAGCTTCCTAAGCTCATGCACTATGCGACGTACCTGCATAAGATAATGAGCGCCGTCGCCATGTGATGAGGTAGGTAGTACAATGTAGGTAGAGAGGCCCATGCGCAAAGAAAGAGTGGGGCCCGGGCACACTTGGATGAGGCGCACCTTAGGTAGCTCTGAAAGGCAGGCAGGACTCATCGACTGACTGCCTATACAGGTAGAACCTGAACTTGGACCCCACGCCTCCCGGTATCCTTCACCATACTTGCCAACGAACAACACCATACATGCATTCGGATTCTTGTGAGTGCCGGGTTATGAACAACGCATTTTGAACTCTGCCGACGCCGCTGGATAGCTCCGAGGCACTGCTATGGAGCGGGCTCCGGGCGTTCTCGAGCCTCACGGCTTGAGAGACGCAACTGGACCCAATGATGGGGATGAAGACATCGTGTCCGATGCCGACTCGGACGAGATGGAACTACGTGGAGACATAGCCAAGTTTGACCAGTCAGTTCGAGAGTTCCTGTCCTCCCATCAAGGAACGGTTACGGTCGACGATGAGGATGAACACGAACTCAGAAGACCCCGAGCAGCTATGAGATCGAAGGCTGCGACACGTTCCACTATTCGGGGTCCCCGACAAGCTGCGGAACCCCGAGGCGATATCAAGTTTCGTCTTGCCAGAGTCAACCAAGCTTTCATGAGTGGCGAGTATGACCGCGCGAGGAATCTTGTCTTTGAGATCATCAGGATTAATGCCGAAACACATCAAGCCTGGACCGTCTTAGCTTCCATATTCCGCGAGGAAGGACACAGCGATAAAGCTCTGATGGCCATGGTTATTGCTGCGCATTTGCGTCCCAAGGACGGTCCAGGCTGGATGAGCTGCGCATCCTTTGCCATGAGTCTAGCCGAAGAAGGTCAGGATGGAGCTCTCAAGACCGCACTGATGTGCTACTCTTCGGCTGTTAAAGCACAGCCTACCAATCTCGATGCCAGACTGGGCAGAGCCGAGGCAAGTCAAGCCCAGGGCTTTCTATCGCAAGCAATTGCCGAATTCTCCTATGTCCTTGAGCGTCGGCCTTTCGACATTGGCATTGTGAGAAGGCTAGCCGAAGCTTGCGCTGATCTGGGGGGCGCCGAGGACGTAGAAAGAGCTGTCGTCGCCTACCAAACATACTTCACTCATGCGCATGCGGAAGACCGTGGTGCCGGAGACGAACTTTCGTGGCACGATGTCGGCATCTTTGTAGAGCTCTTTGCCTGCGCTGGCGACTACGCGAACGCCATATTGCAACTCAAATCGTTATCTCGATGGATGCTCGGGCGACGCAATGAAGGACTATGGGACGAATGCGTTGATGACAGAGAGTGGGACAGGGAACACACTCGTCGTCTTCAGATTCCGGCATTCGATCCATCTGCCTACGACCTGTACACATATGGTCTAGGCCTACCCCTAGAATTCAGGGCCCGTCTCGCATTATACCGGCTCAAGATTCGGGATGACCAAGAATCCAATGTACGTCTCGTGTCATTCATCTGCTGCTTTGCTGACTGACACGCCCTCAGCTCCACCTTCGCTGGCTGGACCCAACGGAATCCGCAACAGCCACCGCCGTTCAGGATTTCCCCTATCTCATTCGGGACATTGCTGACGAACTTTACATGGTTCCGCGCATTTCGGAGGCGCTTGATTATTATGAACTCCTGCGACATTCCATCTATGGCCAAGATGCCACACTGCTTCTGCAGCTTGGCCGCTGCTATCTGGCCAGATCCGACTTGGCAGCAGCCGAAGACTGTTTCTTGGTGGCGATACAAGTAGATGAAACCAACATCGACGCTCGCATCGAGCTGGCTAGGATCTACGAAAAGGCCAAGGAGGAAGAGGAGGCACTCATTCTTCTTAGCGAGGCCGCAGCCTTGGACCGAATCAACGATGGAGGAAATCAGCTGGAAGATGTTAGTGGAGATGTGAACAGATCACGAGGACGCGCATCAGCATTGTCTGACGCCATAAAACCACGAAGAAAGCGAGATCAGAGGCGCAGACCCACAAATAACGGGGTTGTCCGAGCTAGATATCGACCCAGGAAGCTTGTTGCTCCGGACCAGCGTCTACAGGAAGAACGTGTCCGAGCTGACGAGCTGACTAGGCGATATGAAGTCGTCCGCAACCTGAAGAGGGATATACAGGCGGGTGACCACTCACTGATACCGCAATGGATGGCCGCTGCTGGGGAACTCGTGGGCGACTTCAGATCTTTCAGGAAGTTCTATCCCTGGGACAAATATCTCCAGTTTCTCGGTGCTGCCAACGATGTAGTTTTCAGTGCATCCTCTAGGACGCAGTCAGGCCTCTCAGAACTAGCTGAGAGGCTTTCGAAGAGTAAGAATCTGCCCGTGGTATCAGGATCACTTCTTCTACACTTCACCAGTGCTGACAAGCAATCGTACAGACATAGCCCCATCCATCTTGGACGACAGAAGGATCAACGTCGCGTATGAGGATGATGGCTACCGTGGCATTCCTTTTCGCGAGTGGCTCGAGCTGTTCCTCGATTATGCAGTTAGTCTAGCATTGGCCAATCGTGCCGAAGAGGCATACCAGGTTTGCGAGGCGGCGAGAGACTCGATTGTATTCGTGAACTCGAAAGACTACATGTTCCTAATCCACGTGGCGTGGGCAGGTAAGCTTGGTCACACGTAGAATTTCGTTGGCGGAATAGCTGACGGATAGACAGCGTGTGCCATATATCTGGCTGACGAGGAGATGTGCGTGGCTGTGGCAAGGTTTTTTATGAAGGTCCGGCAGCTGGATTCGGATTCCTACCGTATGTTCGCAGCCTTGTGCAGGTTGTGCCAGTCTCCTGCATCTTGGTACAACTCCGGACCTGCTCAGAAGTATATTCTGCGGCAGATCAAGATGATCGATGCCTCGCATCTGTCCAGCAGTCAGGTAGACAGGCATCGTGAAGTCAACCATCGAGAGGCTACTAGCCCTGCTGAGGCAAAGCAGCTTGACATATGCCTACTGATGCTCTACGGACATATCTTGTTCACATCGACAAGCTACACCTTCGCTTTAAGTAAGTGGGAATCAGTCTGGAGGGGCGGGGCCTTGGCAGGCATGGACTGACCGACAACATTACAGATTACTTCCTCAGGGCGCGAACTCTAGACCCTTTGAACCCTATGATTAGCCTCAGCGTCGGACTCGGATACATTCACCATGCCCTCAAACGCCAGGCAGACAACCGGCAATACCTGATCATGCAGGGGTTCGCCTGTGTGTTCGAGTTTTGCCATTCAAAGCTCACGGGAACGCCAGACGAGAGACGAGAGGCCTTCTTTGGGGTCGGAAGAACATTCCACATGCTTGGGCTGCACCACCTGGCGCTGGAGTGGTACAGAAAGGTCCTTGGCCCAGAACAATCACAGATTGACTTGCAGCTGGAGGACGTGGCCAGTCGAGACGTGATTTTGAGTGCCGCATATAATGAATATGCCCTGTTCATAAGTAGCGGGAGTGTTGATGAGTTGGAGAACGTCGTGCTGCCTCGTCTGGTTCTTTAATTGAAGTGTGCTGGCCATTGCACCATATGGAATACGGCCTGTTGGTTTCATCGAGGTTGCAGGTGCAGACAAGGTACATAGGATCCTCCTAGCAGTCAGTCAGCCTGGGGGGGCGGGCGGGCAGAGGGCTTCAGCGGTACATAGTACTTCCCTCGCCATTACAGGAAGGTGGGGTAACGAGAATTCTCCAATTGAAATTTTCGCGCTAACCCACCGAAGTTCCATTTTTCTGTCACCCCGCCCCAGGGTCATTCATTACTTTGGAGGGGCTTTTTTTGTGATAACAAAATACTTCGCGCCGGCGTCGCAAGTGAATCTCTTCTCTTTTGTTGGATCGCAACTTTCCCCTCCTTTCAGGCAGTGGAGGTGGAACAAGAAAAAGAGACTTGCTTTTCTTCCATTCTCAACCCTTCTATCTTCGAGCACTCCATCTGGATAGCCACTTCCATCGAGCTACCACCCAACCAACGGACATCCTACCCTCCTCGCGACCAGATTCTTTGTCGCAGATCCAAATGGTAGTCACGATGACCTCCAACGGCAAGCTGCGTATTTTGCTTATCGGCAATGGTGGACGCGAACATGCGTTGGCTTGGAAATTGAGCCAGTCGCCTATGGTCGAGTCCATCTACGCCGTGCCCGGGAACGGAGGCACTGCGACTTGTCCCAAGGTTACCAACGTTACCGATGTCGCCGCCGACGACTATCCCACTCTCGTTAAATTCGCTCAGTCCAAACTAGTCGGTCTTGTTGTTCCTGGCCCTGAAGCCCCTCTCGTGGATGGAGTCGAGGCCTACTTCCGTGCCGCTGCCATTCCTTGCTTCGGACCTTCCAAGGAGGCAGCCCAGATGGAGGGCAGCAAGACCTTTTCTAAGGACTTCATGAAGAGGCACAACATCCCGACCGCGGCTTACGAGAATTTCTCCAATTACGAAGAGGCCGTTGCCTACCTCGACCGCATATCACATGACGTTGTCATCAAGGCGACTGGCTTGGCTGCCGGCAAGGGTGTGATCATTCCTACAACCAAAGCAGAGGCCCAGCAGGCTCTCAAGGAAATTATGGTGGACAAGGCTTTTGGAAATGCTGGAGACGAGGTTGTCATCGAAGAATTCCTGACAGGCGATGAGTTGAGCATTCTTACCTTTAGCGACGGCAACCACACATTGTCTCTGCCTCCCGCTCAGGATCACAAGAGGATCGGGGATGGAGACCAAGGACCCAACACTGGTGGAATGGGCTGCTATGCTCCGACCACCATCGCTACCAAGGAGCTTATACGCCAAATTGAGGATGAAGTTATCGAGCCAACGATAATTGGCATGCGCAAGGAGGGTTACCCTTTCAGAGGTGTCCTTTTCACCGGTCTAATGATCACTCCGAAGGGCCCGAAGGTTCTCGAGTACAACGTTAGATTCGGCGACCCGGAGACGCAGACCGTGCTTCCGTTGTTGTCTGAGGACACTGACCTGGCCGAAATCATGCTGGCTTGCACGGCTCACGAGGCTCGCCTCGACTGTGTGAGCGTGAAGGTCGAGCAAAAGTTCAGCGCCACCGTCGTCGTGGCAGCAGGCGGCTACCCAGGATTTTATGCTAAGGGAACCCCGATGGTAGTCAACTCGCCAACATCACCTGACATCACCGTCTTTCATGCAGGAACCAAGCTATCTTCCGAGGGCCAGTTGCAAACTTCAGGAGGCCGTGTCATAGCGGTCAATGCCACCGCCGACTCTCTGGAGGCCGCCGTCAAGAAGGCGTATGAGCAGGGAATACCGCTCATCAATTTCGACAAGATGTACTGCCGCAAGGACATCGCCCACCGTGCGTTTCGATCTCAGCAACAGAGAGAGGCTCTGACCTACGCCGGTGCCGGCGTCAGTGTTGACGCTGGCAACGAATTCGTTGAACGCATCAAGAAGGCAGTTCGAGCCACCAAGCAGCCGGGCGCAGATGCCGAGATTGGCGGGTTCGGTGGTGAGCTGGACCTGGCAAAGTGCGGTCTTCAGCTCGATGAGGGCCAGTTGCCTGTCCTAGTTGGCGCCATTGACGGCGTTGGTACCAAGCTCATGATTGCACAAAGCATGGGCAAGCACGACACTGTGGGTATCGACTTGGTGGCTATGAACGTGAACGATCTTGTAGTTCAAGGGGCCCGACCCTTGATGTTCCTCGACTACTACGGCTGCAGCAGGCTTGATCTGAGCACTGCGGCCTCGTTCGTGGAGGGCGTGGCTGCTGGCTGCATCGACGCTGGATGCACGCTCGTTGGGGGCGAAACGGCGGAAATGCCCGGTATGTACCAAAAGGATGACTATGACGCCGCAGGTTGCGCAGTCGGTGTCATGGTCAACAGTCAGAGGCTTCCTCGCAAGGATGAGATGGCCGCAGGTGATATCCTGCTTGGCTTGGCCTCAAGCGGCGTCCACTCGAACGGATTCTCACTGGTCCGCCGTATCTTGGAGAGGGAGGCCGTTGCCTACACAGACGAGGCCCCTTGGGATGCAGGTAAGACTGTAGGCGACAGTCTTTTGACCCCCACCAAGATCTACGTCAAGAGCCTCCGTGGCGTCATTGAAGGTCGTCTCGTCAAGGGTCTCGCTCACATTACGGGTGGGGGGCTGATTGATAACGTACCTCGCATGCTGCCGGACCACCTCGGTGCCGAGATTGATTTGGCGACTTGGAAAATGCCCGCCGTCTTTAATTGGCTGAAGACGAGCGGCAACGTTGAGCCGTACCAAATGGTCCGCACCTTCAACACGGGTGTAGGAATGGTTGCGGCGGTGGACCCTGCTCTCGAGAAAGAAGCTGTGGAGTCACTGGAAGCTGCGGGAGAGAAGGTCCTTCGCCTAGGCCGGCTTGTACAGCGCTCAGCCGATGAGCCGCATTGCAAGGTGCTCAACTTGGATTCATGGGCATAAAGTGACGTTAAGGATAATTGGTTGGGCGTTGGGTAGAAGATAGGCAAAAGTTGACCATGTGATTTTATTCATCGCTTTATGGATTCTTGGGGCACATCTTCGTACCTAGTCTAAGATGAACGGCATCCATAAAATTGCTCCCCTATGAATGGGCAGTAGTTATATTGCTTCTTGGGTGAAGGTAATGTGAGCCTTCTGCGCGTGGCCTACGTCGTAACTACCGAATCATGCACTGTTATGTGCTTCCTGCTGCAGTAGATCCAAACTACCATCTCAGTCGCTGTTCCATTGGCCCTTGACGTATGAGCTCTAATATGCATGGTAGGTGGGCGAGTCAAAGCTTGCTTCAGTAGAGTCAGCTAACTTCCGAATCAAGTCTTTCTTCAGATATTCGTTCGTCCCTCGCGAACGTATTCCGTACCCCCGGCCAGTAAATTGCAATTCCTAAAACTCACGCTGTCTTCTCTCCGCCTGATACCTCCTCGTCCGCGCCAGCTGGGCTCTCATGACTCCCTTCCAGCTCAGAGAGGACTATCCAGGTGGGAAGGACGCAGAGTATAGTGATAGCAAAGTTAAGGCCAATGCTAACAAAGTGATTTGCGTTACCCTCTGACTGCATCCTGTAGGTAAACTGTCAGTGGGGGTGTATTTCGGAGAGGTCACCGGAAGGACTCCATTTATAAAGTGTTGCTGCAGTGGCCGCACAGGAAGGAACACACTTACGCCCAAGCAACGGTCTGACCCAGTGCCTCTGTGCCTCTCAATATTCCTGTGTGTCTGCTCAGATCAGAAAGATCTGTGGCATATTGGCCAACGAGCCAATACAGAAATTGCTGGAATGCCTGGCCCCCGAACTGCCAAAAGAACACAAGAGCATAACTCTTACCAAAGCCACCCGTGAACCAGTCATATGCAGGTGCCTCGTCCGCGTCATAGATTTGCTTCTGCAAGACAATAGCCCATATCCAGGTTCCGGCAAGAACTACGATGATTGATGAAAAGACAATGCGGCCACGGGTCTTGATAAAAACCCTTTGGTTATCCAGCAGCATGGCAACGAGGAATGAGCTAAAGATTCCTGCAAAATTTGTGAAGAAGCTCGAGAATGCGCGGGAGCGAACCGTGAAATACGTTGCCAGCCAAGTGCTCATAAAGCCGTTGTAGAAATAGCTGATAAAGAACGCCGGGAGAAGTAGCAAGATTCTCCGGCTGGCGAACAACTTGCCGACTGCCTTGAACTCGGATCCCCAACTGGAGCCAACATTTGTGCTGATCCGAGTCCCGTCCCGACGCCATACCATATTCGGGGGTGACAAGCACAGCGCGATGGGAAGCCCTATGCACATGATGACTATGAAGACAATGTATGTCGAGGATGAAACTGACCCCGTCGTCTTTTTGCTGGCATTCAGACCAAGGTTGATAGCACCGCCGACAATGGGCCCGGCAGCTTTCGCCGTCTGCCAGATGGCGAGGTAGAACGCGCGATCCCCTGGAGATGGGTAACCGATGATGATAGCTGCCTCAGCTGCCCAGAAGAAGCCTGCAGATATCCCGCATAAGGCGCTGCCAAATAGCATGAACCACGTATTGGCGCTCTTATTGTTTGTGTAGAGTCCCGCTCCGTAAAGAGGGTAGCCAATCGCACCGAGTGCCAGTCCGTACGGTAGCCCGATTCGGTTGTTGATGGCACCAGCGGCCACACAGACAATAGCAAACAAACCATAGACCAATGCATTCGCTGCAGAGACAGCATACCTAGGGGATAGTTTCAGTTATGAAAACATAGGATGATACGTTTTGGAGGCACATACGGTTCGGCAGCCCCACCTGCGCCTAGGCCGCCTAATGCATCCCACATTCCGGGCGCCGTGAATGACACACCGCAAGCAACAACGATTTGAAACGGCACGGAGCGGAACATCGGCCCGGCAATCGGCCTTGGCGCCCGGACGGCTGTCGGACTCGTCGCATCCCGCTCGGGATCCTGCTCGGAGTCTGCGGCGGTCGGTATCGCTGACATGGCTGGAGAGCTCTTCGAGCTTGGCGGAACAGTACGAATAGAAGGCAATTCAATTTCCGACGGGAGAGGCACATAAAGGCATCCTGATTTGAGAAAGAGAGAGCGGCTCCGGTAACACAGGCGGCATTGAGAACACGCCTCTATCTATACCCTGGAGCCTGCGCAGATACTACCCACGGCTATTGGGTCTTACAGTGGGTCCATTGCGCTATTGAGACTATGAATAATAGAAAAGAATGAAATACTGGAGTCAGGGCCTCTAGCTACCTGCAGTTAAACCTATGAATAATAATCACCTTAGGATACTGTTAGATTACAAGGGTTAAAATAGCGCTTCTAAGCTATTAGGGGTAGCTTAGATAAATAGATAATCTACTTAGTAAGAATAATAAGCCCTATATAAATTATATATTAAGTCTTACGAATTTTTAAAAATATATATATAATATATGTACAAGTTAATTTATTAATTAATAGTTTGATTTATATTAACTAATATAATAATAAGCTATTTATAATATTAAAAAATAACTCATAAGTACATAATAATACTTTTAAATAACAAAAAGATCTCTCTAAAATATAAAGAATTAAGTTTTTTTAATTAACTAAGTTTAAGCTTTTTATTTCTCTTATTAGTTATTATACATTATAAACTTTAAAATGTTTTTTAAAAATATTATTTAAACTTATAAATTAGCCTTTTAGAAGTTTATAATATTTATAAAGCTTCTATATATTTTTAATTATTTTATATAAGGATTTTTAACTATAATAATTCTTTCTAAAAATAATAAAGCGATATTTTAAGTATAAAAGTTTAAAAAACTTTTTTAAATAAATTATACTTTTTATAATAAGTTTTGAATAAATTATAGCTTTTTTTAAAAAAGAGTATAATAATATAATAAAAGGTATATAAAAGATTTAATAGTTTATTAAAGAAATAAGTTTTATAAAGTTTTTAAAATATTACTATATTATTAATATAAGCCTTAATAAGTAACTTTATAAACTTGAAACTTATATTAAATATAATAAAACAAAATAAAAAACTTAAGTAATCTCTAAATATATCTTAATAATTATAGTTCTTAATAAATAGTTCTTTTTAATAAAAAGCAATATAAAAATATAAATATTATATTAAGAGAATATACTTTATACTAAGAGCTAGTAGTTACAAGAGACTAAAGAGTTTATAAAAAGTATATATTACTTAAGAGGAAATTACCCTCTTAAGTATCCTTAAATTATGAGTTTATAAAGCTTATAACGTGGTTCATCAGTTAGCGACGCACCATCAGTGCGCGACGCACTTTTCTAACCTTCACGTCCAGAACACCTAATTCCTCCACCATAATCAATTAAATCAATTATAACTACTCGGAATCACTTCAACTACTTACTTCCACAGCCTCTGGACAGGTTCTTGTATTGTGGCCGGTCTTGCGACAAATACTATAGTGTCGTAAACCGGTTCGGCGACGCTTCGATGAACCCCCATTTTCTTCTTCTTTACCTACCTCCTCCTCATTAACACCTTTTTTAACTATAAACTCTCTTACTTAAGACCTATTAATTACCCCTCTATCCTATAGTTTAGTTCTTTTAGCTCTCTGCTATTTACTAACTGCTATATTTATATTACAAAGATATTATACCTCTTCTTATAAAAGGGTAGTTAAATAAGAAACAAACTATAAACCTTTAGAAAGCTTATTAATAGTATTAAAAATAGGTGTTAGAGAGCTTCTTTAGTGTTTTGAGATTCTTTCTTTAATAAGTGAAGACTAGCTTACAGCTTTATTAGTTGTCTGAGGTGTTTTAGAAACCTAAGGGTCTAGTAGCTTAACAGGGGTGCTTAGGGTAGTTAGTGTTTATACTTATATATTAAGCTGAAAAAGTACAGCTTAGGGGATAAATGGAATAAGCCTAGCCCCTCTGAAACCCCTAAGAACGTTGTCTGGGCTAAAGGTTTGAAAGAAGGCAGCTTTAAACCTAAGAAAAAACTCCGGTTTAGTGACATGTGTAATTTAGGCCTTAATGAAGTGCTTAATCTGAGAGC